ATCTACTTAACATGACTACAATTGATCATTTATGTATGTTCTGATGATATCTTTTCATTTTGAATTCACTTATTATGCTAATGTAACAATATTTTTCGGCATTTAGATGATTGTTGTAATATTATATATAAAATTTCTCTCATTAATTAAATTATATTGCTCCTTCATAAAAATAAATATTTAAACCATAATGTACCATTATTAACGTGCAACGCACGTTTATAGATACTAGTTACCACTAAAATATGAGTACTTTATCAAAATTTCTCTTAATTCTTCTATGTAATTTGGTCCGTCGTTTCCCTTACCGACCAAGAAAAGAAGGTTTAAAAGCCCAAACCCGATAGGAAGAAAGGCTTTAATTGCTACTATCCCTATCTTCTTCTTCAGTCCCAAAATCAATTAGTCGGCACAACGCAAATCTACAGAAGTTCAATCGGCAAAAATGGCGTCAGCTGATGTGGAGAAGAGCAGGAGGGAGATTGAGAGAGAGGAGAGCTGTTCGGCGAAAGCAACGAAGCAAGGGGAAGGGCTGAGACAGTACTATATGCAGCACATCCACGATCTCCAGCTCCAAGTCCGCCAAAAGACTCATAACCTCAATCGCCTTGAAGCCCAGCGTAACGAGCTCAATTCTAAAGGTCTGATCTCACCCAGAAATTCTAAATCTCGAAACCCTAACTTTAGCAAAACTTTGACTTCGGTAATTTTATCTTGAAGCCCTAGACTTAACCAGTTTCTTACATATATAAATACTGCTTTTCGTGTTGTTTATTCTCGAGTTTTTGAGTTAAATATTTCATCAAACCTTAGTGTGGCGAAGGCAGCTAAGATATCAAACTTTAGTAATCCGGGAATTGACTGAATAACAAATTAAAGGTTAAAGGGTCCTATTTTTGTAATTGAAACTATATACTGTGCATTCACCATAATACTTGTTATTTGATTATGATAGTCCAATATGACAAGTGAGTAGAGATGAATTCCTCCACTTTGGTGTTAGTTTAAGATTTGGTAACTTAAATATGTTAAAAATTGATGTAAGGCGTAGAGACCCAAAATCTCTCTGCCTCTTTTGTGAAATTAAGGGGTTGGGCAAATCTCTCTTGTGGGATATGTTTTCATGAAAAGATGTATACTTTAACTTCTGTATAACATATGAGTGTTGTTTAACATGATGAAAGGTATTCTTGCTCAACTACTTAGAGAGTTAGAGGTTGGTTACCCCGCAGTAAAATTCTGCTCTTGGTTAATCATTGAAAAGAATATCAGATAAGATCATCTATTACTGAAAGTATGGAGCTCTCGTGGTGTCTGAGCAATGAGCTAGGTGTATGTGGAAATTTCTTTTCTCCAGCTTTGGAATCTTGTCAGAGGACTTGCAATGGAAGAGCTTAAAACATAGCTATCAACTGATGCAAGTGCATATCATTCCGGCATGTGTGGATTTTAAGCACTAAGATACGTATAATTCAACAACAACAACAACAACTACCCAGTAAAATCCCACCAAGTGGGGTCTGGGGAGGGTAATGTGTACGCAGACCTTACCCCTACCCCGATAGGGCAGAGAGGTTGTTTCCGATAGACCCTCGGCTCAGAAAGATGGAAATAAGAAAAACAAGAAAAGACAATTCATTAGTAACTCCATCTTGGATTCAAAATCTTAAAATACTTGTCATCTTGGATTCACTGTAGTCTTTTATATTCTATATTCAAACCTAAACAAATAGAGAGATGGAGAGAGGGAGGGATAAGGAAAGTTCCTGGGGAGGGGTGTAAGGTTGGGCTTTCTGAAATTAATAGCCTTTCTTGAATAGGTCTTGATATTCTTTTTTGGCATTTGTTCTACTTCTGTTGAGGAATGTACTGAAATTGTCTTGATGACCCATGGTATTTTCTATTTTTTTTAATTGTATTTCAATCATGTGTGGACTTGTAAAAATTCTCATGTATGTCTATTTTCAGTCAGAATGCTCAAAGAGGAATTACAATTGCTTCAGGAGCCTGGATCATATGTTGGTGAAGTTGTTAAAGTAATGGGAAAGTCAAAGGTTCTTGTTAAAGTAAGTGTATCTACATCTTCTTAATCGTCATTAAATTACTTATTAAATCTTCCTACCATCTGTAAGTTACTGTATAAGAGCAAAGAGCAGGTCTCATGTGGTCACCAGGCTTAAAACAGGAAATTAAGTTGAATCAGTCGTATATGCTGCAGTAAGATGATGTACTTTCAGCTCGCACTTGGTTGATGGCCTGCTTTGCTCTTCTTCTTCAGTTGAATACCTTTCGTGTTAAGGGCCCCATTAGACTCTCATTTACTGTTTTACCCTTGTCTTATTAATTTTGCACTCTTCATTTTATGGTGTCTGCGAATTTTGACTCCTTGCATCATAAATATGCTCTATGCGTTGAGATTTATGATGTCAATTTCCATTTTATCCTTCTTTAGCATGTCATGGGTTCAAACTTTTCCTTTTACTATGAGGAAAGCATTTCTATTAGATTCAGCGGTAATTGAAACAATGAATTTGTGTGGATCATACTGTTTTGAATTTTACAAAGATTTTCTAGTAAAAATCATTTGAACCACGGCATTCCCTTACTGTATTTCTAGTTTATTTAGTTTTTTTTTTTGTTTCCTCTTCTTTGTGTTATACTCAAGGTTCATCCTGAAGGCAAATATGTTGTTGATATTGACAAAAGTATTGACATTACGAAGATCACTCCATCAACTAGAGTTGCCCTGCGCAATGATAGCTATGTCCTCCATCTTATTTTACCCAGCAAAGTAGATCCATTAGTCAACCTCATGAAAGTTGAGAAAGTGCCAGATTCCACTTATGACATGATTGGTGGTCTGGACCAGCAGATCAAAGAGATTAAAGAGGTACTTATCTTCTCTATTGTTTTTTTGTTTGGTGGTTTTCTTGATCTTTCTTGTTAACTAAGTCTTTGATTTTTTACATAGTAATTGTATAATCGTCTTCAATTTGGTTGTCTATTATGCATTAGGTTATTGAGCTTCCCATTAAGCATCCTGAGTTGTTCGAGTCTCTTGGAATAGCTCAACCAAAGGTATATGTAGTCGACTTTATGAAGCTCTTCTTCAGTTAATTTTTCAGCGTTGGTAACCATATAAGTAATTGGTCTCCTCCTTTATAAATGACAGGGAGTGCTGCTCTATGGGCCTCCAGGAACCGGGAAAACATTGTTGGCGAGGGCAGTTGCACATCACACTGATTGTACCTTCATTAGGGTCTCTGGTTCCGAACTAGTGCAGAAATATATTGGAGAAGGTTCTCGAATGGTGAGAGAACTTTTTGTTATGGCCAGGTTAGCTCTTAATTTTGAGAATCCAACAGTTATGCATATCTGATCTTATCACCTCAAATTCAAATCTGAAGCCATTTCTTGGTTGCTTAGCAGGACTGGCCGTTGCCTGCAAATATTTCCCCTTTTTAAATGTGATCTATTGATTAGCACGTTTCAGTCACGTAGGAGATCAGTGAACCTAATTTTTTGACTTTTTTTTGATAACCTTAACCTACTTATAGAGAAAACTTATCTTGTACGCAAATAAAGTTCTACTTAGGGAGCCACCGGGAAAGAGAGAGGGGGGGGGGGGGTTTACTTGACTGCCCGTTGCCTGCAAATATTTCCCCTTTTTAAATGTGATCTATTGGTTAGCACGTTTCAATTTGTTTATCTTCAGGGAACATGCCCCTTCCATCATTTTTATGGATGAGATAGACAGCATTGGATCTGCTAGGATGGAATCAGGGAGTGGCAATGGTGATAGCGAAGTGCAAAGGACAATGCTCGAACTTTTGAATCAGCTTGATGGATTTGAGGCATCAAACAAAATTAAGGCAATTTCAGCGTTCTGTCTCAGTTATATATTGCTTGGTAAATAATTACTAGATTAGAGTGAGTGGATTGGAGCTGAGACAGGTTTTACTTTTGCTTCAGGTTCTAATGGCCACAAACCGTATAGATATTCTAGATCAAGCACTCCTTAGACCAGGAAGGATTGACAGAAAGATTGAATTTCCAAATCCGAATGAAGAGGTATGGTGCTTCATATAGTTTTTAATATGTGGTTGAGAATTAAGATGATTACCTTTTACATTTCCTGGGTCCCTCATTTTAATTGCTTGTGCTTGTTGATTTATATGCCGAATGTACTGGGAAATATTAGTAGTACACGTAAAGATAGTTTAGTGTTTGAGTAGACACAACAATATCTATGCTTGTCATCCTACTCTGCTTCCTCATTTAAGCGACTTGTAAAATTTGAAATCTTGCTTTATGCTTTTAGTTTTCATTTTAGCATGCGCTGATGATTTGTCCTATTCAACTTATCATTTGATCACTGTGCAGTCTCGATTGGACATTTTGAAGATTCATTCGAGGAAGATGAACTTGATGCGAGGGATTGATTTGAAGAAGATTGCTGAGAAGATGAATGGTGCTTCTGGGGCTGAACTTAAGGTGTGTGGTTATAGAATGCACTTTTTGCTATACTATAGCAAATCAAATTCTTGATTGCTTGATGGCCTATTTAGGTTATTAGTTAAAACTTCTGATCTAGTATGTGATGAACTAATCCACCTTTTGCCTTGACATTGGGTGCTGCATGAATTGACGCGAGTCAAAATGTATTTCTTGCTATGTTATTGTCAAAATGTATTTCTTGCTATGTTATTTTTTTGGCTTGCTCATGATCTATTCCTTCTCTATCTATTTGCAGGCTGTATGTACAGAAGCAGGGATGTTTGCTCTAAGGGAGAGAAGGGTGCACGTGACTCAAGAAGACTTTGAGATGGCTGTCGCCAAAGTAATGAAGAAAGAGACGGAGAAGAACATGTCACTGCGAAAGCTGTGGAAGTAGATGATGACCAACACGAATGGCATTATCTAGTTGTGGACATTAGACACATAAACACTTTGCTCAATTGATCGTCTAGAATTACAGTACCAGTAACTTGTTGTCCTTGGATCTTTTATTTTACTCAAGGCGCTTAAGACTTCCTTCAGTATTTTGACGGGACTCTCACTTTCATATCTTCGGCTGTTTTTCTCATGTGTAGCTGTCATTCAAAATTATTAAATTCAGAAAATTCCTTCTGTTTATTCGCACAGCTTCAGTATTTGCCACTCCTTGGTTCTGAGTTGCATTTTGTTAATTGATTTTGGTATCCTTGATTGCTCGACCATATTTCCACCCTTCAGTGGAAAGTCTGACATAGGAGCTTTACTTATAGCTTGTTTGGTTGTGCTTTTTTTCTCTTGTGGCCAAAAGTGCTTTTCTCCAAAGTTAAGGTGTTGGCTAGGCTTTTAGTAGAGAAAAAAGTGATTTTGACTTAAAGCAGAAGTAGTTTTTGAGAAGCATTAAGTAGTTTTATTTCAGAAGTACTTTTTTGAAAAAAAAAAAATTGAGAAAAATATGTAGAAGTACTTTTTAGAAGTTTGGTCAAACATGAATTGTTGTGCTTTTGAAATTGATTAGCTGCTTCTCACGGGTAAACATGCTATTATATTTCAAAGCCTTAAGGCAAGTGTGAGTGGAGTAAACCTCTTTGTTTTAATATGGATTAGTTGACTTTAGATATGGAAAGAGCTAAAAATACCCTTGAACTATCGAAAATAGATTAATTATGCCCTTTATTTGCTTTTGGGTATAAATCTATCCTTGTCGTTAAAAAAGTGGCTCCTATTTGCCACTGATTCTAAAGCTCGCATAAAATAATATTTTCTTGCTTACTTCGAAATTGTGTTTGAAAAAAAAAATCAAAAAAGAAAATCCCTCAAGAATCTATCTTTTCAATCAGCAAAAGCTCAAAACAATAACATTGAATCAATCTTTTAAATTGGGAGGGGAATTAAAAAAAAAAAATCAATCTTTTAACAACTAATTTGCTTGCACTAATGATTTCCAAATCACTCTTTAGGTCTACCTCTTTTGTTGTATAATTTTGTCTTTTTTTTTGGTTGCTTCAGGTATGAACAAATACAGCCACACCCAAAGATCAAAAGAACTACAAAGATGATGATGATAATAACAATAAGAAGCTCTTAGTCTTAGACTTTGTTCCTTTTTATTAAGATTTTCTAAATGTCTTAGTATTTTGAATTGGAAGTAATATTATCAACTGCAGAAGTTTTTTGAGGAGTAATCAAAGAAGAAATACATTTACATCAGGCCTTGCAAATATCAAATTTACACCATCCCAAAGTTAAAGAAAATTGAACCTTCACTCAACGATCTTCGCCGCATTGCACCGGAAAACTTCGATGCCGGTCTTGTTTTTCCTTGCATGGCATTTTTTTTTTTTTTTTTTGTTGGAACTCCCATATAGGTCTAGTTTCTGGATGGCAATGATGAGTTCTATTTTAGATTAGGTAAAGAGATTGTCTTTAGTTTTATTGTGAATTTAAAAATGGGTGATTAACTGTTAAAAGATTTTTTCAATATGCTTGTTTTGAGGTTTCGATGATTGAAGAGATAGATTCATGATGGATTTTCTTTTTTGGTATTTTTTAAATCTTGATTTCCAAAAAATATTATTTTATGTGAGTTGTGGAGTTTATTAACAGGGAGGGACAAATATGAGCCACTTTTCGAATAGCGAGGATAAATTAGTATCCAAAAGTAAGCAGTGGGCATAATTGCTCTATTTTCAGTAGTTTAAGGATATTTTTGGGTCTCTACCCTTTTGGATAAAATAGGCAAATAATCATTTTTTGACTGCTCATTAAGGATTAGACACAATTTTTAAAAGTAAATAAATTTTGCCACTATGTAATAAACCGGACAAATACCATCCTCCCTCTCTACTGCCAACAATGTTTATGCTAATGCATTTGGAGGAGGCGAAGGCTGCAATGCCGGAAAACTAATTCAAAGTTGAAGTAGGAAATCAAAATTATTTAGGATTTGATATTTGTAAGTTCATTTAACATTTGTCTAATTAAGATTTATAGTTCGAATAATATAGGGATAAGATTTTCGATTTCTAGGTAAAATAGGTTTCGTACTATTATTAATAGGGTGTTGCTAGTTTATTTCATGACTAGAGAATTGCAGAGATTATTTAGAGATTTCGAATAAAATATTTTACTTGATATTAGTATCAAAGTCAGCAATCTTTACTACAAAGTGATGTGAGCTATTGTTTTGATATGACATCAAATATATTTCCTTTGGCTTCTACTCCCATGTTCACGGGATATAATTATCAATTACGCGTTGTGAAGCTGAAGACACATTTGCAATCTTTTGATCTATGGAAAGTAGTTGAAAAATATGGTAAAGTACGGCCATGGCCGGCCAATCCAACTTTAGTGCAAATCAAGAACCACAATGAGGAAAGTGTCAAAAAATTCAACGCAATAAATTTTGTATTTCTCTATTCAGAAATAATATTCACAAAAAATGCGTGTGAAACTCCATAGGAAATATGAGATTTTCTACAAAACGAATAATTGGACAATTATCAATCAAGATTGATGTAAGTTTTGAATATTAAAGGAGAATTTGAGATTCAAAAGATGGAAGAAAGTATTAAGGATTATACCGACAAACTCACATCAATTGCCAATAAAATTAGACTATTTGGTGAAAGTTTTTCAGACAACAGAATTGTTGAAAAAGTGCTTGTGAGCTTGCCTGATAAATTTAAGTTAAGATTTCTTCACTTGGATTCTAAAGACCTCTCAAAAATATCAGTTAATGATTTAGTCAATGCATTGTGAACTCTTGAGCAAAGGAGGGCAATAAGAGATCTTGGAGGATATGTAGAGGGCATGCACTATCGATTTTAGAGGCCAATGAGATCACTTTTTACCATATTAGCGGAGTTTGCTTACAACAACAACTACCAATTTAGTATCCAGATGGCTCCGTATGTGTCCTTATAAGGGAAGCAGTGTCGATCTTCGATTGGTTGGTTTGAGCTTGGAGAGGCTAGGTTATTCGGAATAGACATGGTTCGTGATATTTTGGAGAAGGTGCAGCTAACTCAGGAGAGCTTCCGTCCGACTCAGTCCAGACAAAAAAATTATGATAATTAGAGGGTTCGTGATGTAGCTTTTATAGAGGGTGAGAAGGTTCTTCTTAGAGTTTTGCCTATGAAAGGCGCGATGAGGTTTGAGAATAAGGGCAAGTTGAGTCCGAGGTTTATTATTCCTTTTGAGCTGTTGGAAAGAGTTGGTGATTTTGCTTATAGACTTGCTTTGCCTACTAGTCTTTCGGGAGCTCATATGATATTTCATGTTTCTATACTTCGGAAGTATCACAAAAATAATTCAAATGTTTTAGACTTCAGCACAATGCAGTTGGAAAAGAATCTGTCTTATGAGAAAAAGTCGGTGGCCAGTTTTGATAGGAAGGTTGAGAAGCTCGGGTCCAAGAAGATTGCATCAGTGAAGGTTCAGTGGAGAGGTCAACTGATTGAGGAGGCGACTTGGAAAACCTAGCATGATACGCGGAGTAGATATTCTCACCTTTTGGCATTTTAGCTGTGATTCTAAACCTGTTCGAGGACGAACGTTTGTTAAAGAGGGGGAGAATGTAACAACCCGGCTAGCCGTTTTGTGTATTTGAGCTTCATTTTTCTATTTGGTGCTTCCCGTATGCTTGATAACTTTTTTGTGACTTGCGGGAATTGTTGGTTTGGTTTTGGGAAGCCTTAGGAGTGAATTGGGAGACTTAGTTCTATTTTTGGAAGCTTAAGTTGTAAGAGTTGACCGAGTTTTGACTTTTGTTTAAAAGACCTTGTATTAATAATTTGATAGTTCCAGTAGGTTCTTATGGCGATTTTGGACTTCAGCGTACATTTGGATTAGGATTTGGAGGTTCCTAGGATATTTTTACCCTATTTACCGAAAGGTTGCAATTTGAAGGTATGGAGAGTTTCTAAGTTTGATCGGGAGTTGACTTTGATGATATCAAGTTTCGATTTGTGTTTCGGAACTAGGAATATATATTCGTTTTGTCATTTGGAACTTGTGTGCAAAGTTTGATGTAATCCGGATTGGTTAGGCTTAAATCAAATGCTTCGTTTAAAGTTTGGAATTGCTTAAACTTAAGGAAAGTTCAACTTGTGTTTTGATCTTTGACTCGTTAATGGGATGTTATTGTATATGTTTGTAGGCTTTGGATAGGTTCTGGTAGTGTTAATGGACTTATTGGTATGACTGGACAGGGTCCCAAGTGGATCGGGTGGGTTTCAGACCACTCGAAGCAAGTTCAGAGTTGGTTGATTCTGCTTGTGTCTAGTGTTGGCTTAATTTGAGCAGTTGTGCTTCGCTTCATGTTTGAGACCTTGGATAGGTCCATATAGTATTATTGGATCGTAATGATGTCTAACCTAACCCGCTATGCGAGCCGACCAACAAAAATATAGCTCGAATTAAAGATCACCTAATAAATAATAAAATAACAATGCGAAGATTAATACAAGCTATCCCAAGAACTGATAAAATAAATCATGAGTGACTAAGATTAGGATTACAACTTTGATATGAAGAAAAATACATAATACATTTGAATATACATAAACAAAAATACAAGATCCTGGGCTACCATGAACATAAGACAGTTAATAACTAGAATACCGATATGTCTTCAATGCTCGCCCTCAAACTCTACAACAGCTCAACTTCAATATCTGCACGCAAGGTGCAGAAGTGTAGTATGAGTAAAACTGATGCCATATACTTAGTAAGTATCAATATTAACCTCAATTGTAACGACCCAACCAGTTGTTTGAACATTTACATTCCGTTCAACTGTTTGAAGTCTTGAGTAGCTTCATATGATATATTATGACTTGTGTGTATCGTTGGTTTTAGTTTTCGGGTGATTCAAAATTAGTTTGGAAGAATGATTTTCATGTTTGAAGCCTTAAGTCGGAAGAGTTGACCAAGTTTGACTTTTGTGTATTTGACCTTAGATCGGAGTTTGATGCTCCCGTTAGGTCCAGATAGTGACTTTGGACTTGGACGTATGCCCGGATTTGCATTTGGATGTTTCTAGAAGGTTTCGGTACTAATTGGTAAAAGAGGAAATTTGAAGGTTTGGAATGTTCATAAGTTTGACCGAGAGTTGACTTTGAGGATATTAGGTTCGAATTGTGGC